CGTAATCATCTCGGAGTCGTTTCCGAAAAACCACGCCAAGAAACTGGTATAGTTGCTTCTTTGTGTCTTCCTCACAGAGTTTAAACATGAATCAATTCACGGAGACTTATTACGCGAAAACAGAAACGGGCGTACATGTGGGCTTCTTGTCACCCTTTCCTCTCCTTCTGCCCAAAAGTAGCTTTGGATCGGGCTGTTAGTATCCAAAATGCCCACATGACGACCAAGCGTATGCCCGAGGGCCGCCTCTTAGAGACGCAGCACTCCTTGGGGTGGGCCATGAAGCGGGTTTTCGCTCGGTGCAAATTGAGCTAATTCCAGCTTATGGCTAAATCGGTGGTATTTATGGCTCCTTGTAATTCCAGCTTATCGCTAAATCGGTGGTATTTATTGCCCCTTGTGCTTTTGAATTGCCCCCCGACCCAACCGCCACGACTCCACATTGCAGTTTCTGCTCAACCGCCGCAAACCCCCAGGCTATCAAAGGCAGCGATGCTCGGGAGGAGCCATCCATCTCTTAGACTCAATACCCAAAGAACATAGGTCAAACGTCGGTTATTGTCGTACCAGAAGATAAAGGCGCAGCAGTGAATTCCATATCTAGGTCACAATTGCCGAGCCGCATTCGGTCAGGTTTGCGGAGGCAAGCGGTGAAGCCTACCAACGGGTCAATCACAAGCGTTGACCTCGATATCGGGGAAAGCTGCAAGAACCCAACAACTACTGATAACGTGAACCGGCCAACTTTGGGCTCCACTCAGTCTTCAATCTTAACCACACTCGTCGTCCATGACCCCGACAGCCTCGGCCATAAACCCGAAAATAACGAACCGCGAAATCCTTCGTAACCTCAGTTGGCCACCATGGTCGCGGACGAACGGAGAGCGCAAATAAATACCACAAATAACCAACTGCCCAACGAGCAAGTTGTTCGTGCAGTCCTTTGAGAAAATGAGTCTAATGGAAGCGCCACCAAAAGAAATACTTCTTGGTGCTACCACCCAACGCTCAGGGTCTCACAGAGAGATCATATCAGGCAAACCGTGCCAAAACGCCCCAGAATCCAAACGAACACATGTTTTGCCTGAACCTTTGAACGATAGAAAATCTGGTCGTCCAAAAAGCGTTACTGAGGAAGCTAGAAGCATCAGCGGTCAGAAATTTCCCCTGGAGAGGAATACTGACGTCCCCGGAAGGCAAAGGCCTGCGCGGACCGGGCTTACGCGGAGCAATGAAACTCCTGCAGTTGGAAAGCAGCCCTCGAAACCACCAAGGGAGCAATCAGAAAAGTATGCCACAGATGCCCATTTGGTGCCATGGACTCAAACTCGACGCACAAGTATTGAATCTTCTGTTCTCTCCGGTTACACAACTCTCAGTTTCTCACCTTCGGAAGCGGCGGAGACAGCGTTGAAATGCTCATCCACAAAATGTCTCAGCCTTTTCCACAAGCTTTGCGATATTAAACGGTCAAGTTGCCTTGAACACCCGTCCATATTTGCCCTCACAGTGACCTGGCTCACACCAGATGTCTCTGACGCGGAGATCTCGATAGACAGTTACTCTGTTTTCCGAGCTGGCTCAAAACGAGGGGTTGCCTTGTACCTACCTGCGGCCCTGCTCACGTCGATTGTCCTTTCTGATACCACTCCAGCACGCTTTGCGATTCACTGTGGATCCGAATCCTGCTGCGCAGATCCGATTTCATCCTCGGTGGGGTTTACCGTTGCTCCTGGAGTCCTTCGAAAGATGACCGATTCTTCCTACAAGCCACTGAGCAACACTGTCGCAACTACCGCTTCACTCATCTCTTGCTGATAGGTGATTTCAACGCTCTAAATGCCCTGTAGATGGAGCTCCAACGCGTTGAATCAAGTGAACCTTTTGCGGTGGCGCCGACTAAAGTCGTTCAGCAGAACACCTCGATTCAACATGTTGTCGCACGCAATAAACACCGTGCAGGCCAAGCGTCACTCATCCAGATTTGGTCATCATCAGGGAAAAGTTGCTCCGCTGATCCGGCTTTAATTAATGCCCCCACTGGGACCTGGTGCACACTCTGCGCTAATCCTTGCTTTTATCTGTCACTGGGCCAGAAATCCTGAACCTCAAAAGTGGTTTCCAAACTTCTGCCATGCAGACCTCTCAGGAACAGTATCTTTCTTGATAACTTTAAAATGGGACCAGCTACAGCGGAAGAGTTATACACCACTATCGTCTAGTAAGCGCACGAGGCTGAGGCGATGGTCGTCCCAAAAAAGTAGCAAGCAGCTGGATGGGCCGCAGGCTGCCATAAAGGGTCCGGCATCTTCCAAATAAAGGTCACAACTTTTTTTCAAAACGTTGACTACAGGAGACACAGAAGATGAGCTGGCATTTCGGAAAATCCGAGACCGTTGTCAATCAGAAATCCGCCAAATGAGCGCAACTAAACGGTCCGCCACTCTAGACCTTGCTCGGAGAAACAGAAAATTGCTGTTCAAATACATGAGACGTCGCTGCACAAACAAGCCATCCGCGTTCTCCTTGAGGAACAGGAACGGAGAACCTGCGAGCCACATAAAAATACTGGCGGGGTACACGGAGATTACTATCCAGGTCAATATACAGCCCAAACGTCCGCGGCACATTCACACTTGCCAAGGCGTAACTACGAACAATGTCTAACCGACTTGGTCTTCACTGTGGAGAAAATTCGTCAACTCTTGCACAAGATCAACCCATTCTGCGCGTCGGTGTGCGACGAGGTCCATCCAAGGCTCCTGATCGAAAACTTCGTCTATCCTGGCAGATCACTTAAACCTGACCAATGTCTAGTCACTTGACGAAGGCCACCTTCCCTCTGCCTGAAGGAAACGATTGTCACACCAATCTACAAAACTGGTGACCGACTGCCGCCTGAGAGCTACAGGCCTCACTAGCGTGCCGTGCAAGGTGATGAAACGCATTCTGAAGCGAGCTATTCTAGATCGCTTTGCTTCCCACAACTTCATATCTCCAGCTCAACACGGATTTCTCCCAAACCGTTCTCGCGTGACAAACATGTCCGTGTTTATTGACAGTTTAACTCACGCCAAAGACGAGGGACTCATATCGGATGTCATATTTTTCGACTTCTCAAAAGCATTTGATAGGATCCCACATGTGTCACTGTTCCACAAACTCGAATCTTATGGGATTTAAGGAGAACTCCTTCACTGGATCAAGGCGTTCCTATCCGAAAGATCATTCGAGTGAGATTGGGCTCAACCTACACTTCTCCAGCTCCGGCCTCCATTGGGGTTCCTCAGGTCTCTCTCCTGGGACCACGGCTGTTTCTGATCTACGTCACCGACCTCCCAGATATTCTTGCAAGTCCATGTCTACTTTCTGCGGACGACTTCAAGTCCTGGGGTTCCAATGCCAGTGCCTGCAACTAAATGTAGACGATGCAATGCAGCGGTCGTTGGACTGGCACCTTCCTCCGAATGATGAAAAGTTCGCCCATATGTTTTTTGAAGGAGACTCAGCAGATGCTTTTGTCATGAATGGTGAGAAAGGAGCAGAAAACATCAAGAGGATAGGCGTCACAAAGTATTCGGTTTTCTAGGTCTCTTCATACTTGTCCTCCTCAGTGCGCCATGAGAAATCGGCCCAAAAGACATTTACCATTTTACGGATGATTTGGCGCACCCTCTACCGTATTACTCGCATGGAGTTCAAAGTGCTCTATGGGGATTACGTCAAACCACTCCTTGAATACGCCAACCAATCTGTCTACTCAGAACGCACGAAAGACGTTACCCTCATTGAACGTGCCCAGCGAGCCTCCCCGAATTTGGTTGCCGGCCTCAAATCAGTGGGGCTCGAAGCGCACCTCGCGATGCCTCACCCAATTCCTTTGGAGTATCGTTGCCTCCGAGGCGAACCAATTCTTATTTATGATCTGTTTGAATAAAGCTTGGCCAAAAGGTTTTCCACCACTGACTCAACCATCACGGCGAGGTAATGGCAAAAAGATTTTCAAGCCCAGATAGCACACACTCATGAGACAATATTTTCTCTCACTTCGGGTAGTAGCTGCTTCGAATAACCTTCCTCGACGGTTGACCACTTTCCTTCAAGAACCCAGTTCAAAGCACTGTCAAGCGAACTGCCCCGCGCTGAGAGCATAAAGAACAGTGCTACGTTTTTTTCACTTGTGCCTTTCTGGTGAACGACAGCCGCTGAACGCCAGGAGCAAAACCGACAGGAAACTTGGACAAGAGCCTCGATCCTGCGTATCAGCCCGTGAATCCGTCAATACAATGTCGCGAATGGCTGCTCCATTTTGAGTTGGCGCACACAGAGAGGACGTAATTTTTGTCCATGCAATCATTCAAAATATTTTCATGCCCACTGCAGGATACGCACGTAAATAAATAAATCTTTTCAAAAATTTCCTAGCGTTTTCACGGTGAAATCACGATCAAACATGGCAGCCATAAAAATGGATCCCGCACGCATAATTGTCTTTCAGTATGTTTGAATAACTTCCAAGAAGCCTGCAGCTGTATGGGGAGAAGCTAAAGTTTTGAATATGTATCATCGAATTTCTGTTAAAGTTCCCATAATTCAACCGATGGTTTCGAGGAAAGTTTCGGAGCACGTCTTACGATCGCCCTTCGGCCGACCGAACGAGTCGACCTTTCAAAACACGCGCCTCTAAAGCCAAGGTAATGGCTAACAATCAACGTTGCGGGTTGCGCAAAACGTGATAGTATGAAACTTTCTTGCTGCACGAGGCTATTATGAAGTTAGACCATCCACATAACGGGACGCCCTGCGTCAATCCATTGCGGCAGTTAAGATTTCCGTAGAATTGTTTTAATAGTCATTGCCTCTAGACCTTTGGATGCCATTTTTTTAACTCGCGTTCTGTCGGGTACTGTGATGAAAAGGTTTAATTCTGGCAGTCAGGTTAGGGGGCGCTCCCCGGGGCGAAGGTGAGGTTTTTTTGGTTAATCACATAATTTTAAGATGGTCCACTTCCGGGCCAAGCAATAAACGTGGCAAGTTTGATATGAGTATGGACGTGCCTCCTCCAAAGTGGAATCTGGCAGACCTTCCGAAGTTCGAAAAATGCTTCTATATAGAACACCCCGCAACAACTGCCCGGTCGGAATCCGAAGTTCAGGCCTTTCGTACGGAGTATAAGATGACATTATCCGGCCCGAACATCCCTCGGCCTGTGTTGTCCTTCGGCGAATTAAACCTTCCTGATCATATTTTGCGGGTCATAGCTAACAATGGGTGGCATGGCCCTACTCCAATTCAAGCACAGGGTCTGCCTATGGGACTTTCTGGTCGCGACGTGGTTGGCATCGCACAAACAGGATCTGGAAAAACAGCGTCTTTCGTAATACCAGCTATCGTGCATATTCTGGCACAACCGCGGTTACTGCGAGGTGAAGGGCCTATATGCCTGGTTCTGGTGCCTACCCGAGAGCTGGCTCAACAAGTTCTAAGCGTCGCTCAGCAGTTTGCAACCGCAGCTGGGTTGCGCACTATGTGTTTCTATGGCGGAGCATCTCGTGGTCCTCAATTGCGCGATCTACAGCGTGGAGGCGAAATGTGTATTGCCACGCCTGGTCGTTTGATAGACTTCATCCGGTCTGAGAAGTAAGTTGTTTGGTTTTGAATCCTATTCCTCCGCAGAAAACTCCTTTCTCGTGTCACCTATTTAGTCCTCGATGAGGCTGACAGGATGCTGGACATGGGTTTTGAGCCGCAGATACGCACCATCATCTCTAATATTCGTCCCGATCGACAAACGCTTATGTGGTCCGCCACTTGGCCACGTGAGGTGCAGGGACTGGCGCGGGACTTTCTGACAAACTATATCCAGGTGAACATTGGGTCAGTGTCTCTGCACGCTAACCCGAACATCACACAAATCGTTGAAATTATTGATGAGTGGGACAAGGAGCAACGACTGATACAACTGCTGACAATGTTCGGTCGAGAGCGATGTCTCGTATTCGTAGAAACCAAAAGAAAGACCGATCAGATTACGTACACATTACGCCGACGAGGATTTGCGGTAGGTGCTATGCATGGTGATAAACAGCAGCGTGACAGAGAAATGACTCTAGGGAGTAAGTTGACTCAGCAAGTTGATTCATTTCTCAGGTTTCAGAGACGGTCGACTGAGCGTTCTTGTCGCCACCGATGTGGCTTCCAGAGGACTGGGTGAGTTGATTTGCTGTATTTTAATTCTCGTCTTGGTTTTTGCATGACTAATGTTGAGAATAACCTTTTCAGATATCGACGACATACAGTATGTCATCAACTTCGACTTCCCGAACCAAACAGAGGATTACATTCACCGCATCGGTCGTACTGCTCGCAGTGATAAGAAAGGAACGGCCTTCACTTTCTTCACGTCGAAGAACATGAAGCAGGCCCGTGAGTTGATCGACATATTAGAGGAGGCTAATCAAGAGGTCAATCCGGAACTATTTCGTATGTCTGGTATTTCCGACGCCGGGCGAAGGAATAAATATCAAAAGAGAGGTAAGTGACGTTACATTCTATTATGTGTGGCTGGCTGTCCAAAGCAGGATGCTCGGGTGTTCAGTAGCATTTCCGGCCTTCATCCATGTTGGCGGTTTTCAATCCGTAGGGTAGCTAACCATCTGTTCCCGTGGGGTCGGTTGACGCTTTAGCCAGACGCAGTCCTTTTCTGTAACGAACACGTAAATCTGGTGGGTGTCCGAAGTTGAACATGCTCCGGTGGTTACTTGCGTCGTGTTATGGGTTCACGCATTTCCCGACTGAATACCTTCGCGGTAAGGCGTTGAATAAGGATGCCGTGAAGTGACCTCGTCTTTATTTTGTGCTATAATAACGTGTTACGCCACCGTGCCTGCTGTTCGCGAGCTCAAATGTGCTGAATGGCAAACTTGCGTATTTACTTAGGATATGTCTGTGGTTTGAAAGGAACTCCGGTTCCTGTCTTGGCTTCAGTAGCCTAAAGGTATCTCAACCCGTCGTTCTTCATTCGGGCTGCACCGTGACTGTGCCCGAAGGGCGCTACACCTGATCGACGGTCCTCCCAGAAAAAAAGCAATGGGTCACGAGATACCCCGTGACTACGCCTGTTCAGGTGAAATGGGTTTACGTCGACGCGCGGTGTGGTTTCACGCTTGCGAAGTTTGTATTTTCTGCCACAGTTGCTTCTGCTACTCTGGATGCTGTATGCTTCAGACTCCTAGTTTCTGGGACTACCATCCATTTCGTTATTGGCCACGATGTTAGGATGATGTTAGGACGCCGCTCGCTGACTGAAGGTAAGTATAAGTTACCACAACCTTAAAACAAGTGCTACTCCTCGAGTGGGCTGTCATCGAGGAGATTGAATCTGTGCAGCTGTACTAGAAGTCCCGGATGTTCCCGTACAGCCTGTTCGCAACCATCGGTGCTACCCCCATTTTCCCAGACAATGGTGGATCCTGGAGTATACTGGATTGAGGCGGTGAATCTTTTTTGTGTTGCAATTAACCAGTCGGGATATACAACATTTACACATGCCTTGATCATGTGGATCCGCAGTGCCCATGAGGTTCGCCTGGAACGCAGCTGTAGTGGTTATTCGTGCCGTCATCGAGCTGCTGTCCACGGTCATTCTTTTAGTGGTGTCTCTCCTGGATGAAGACCAGCTACGGTGACGTGCTTCCGTAGTTTTCAGTGGTGATCGGATGGGCTTTTTTTCCAACCGTGGTTTTGAACACCGTACCAACAGTGATTCGTGTTCAAACAGACAATTTCGGTGTCCAGGATTACCCAACTGAATGTCGTGCCAACGATGGGTTGGTATCCAACAATCGAAGCATGTGTTGATGAAGATAAGGTCATTTTGTTGTTTGGTAATGAAACCGCATTTTTTCTCGACGGTGCACCACACGGGTTGATACGGACTCCAGCGACCCACGACTGGTTTCGCCTTCCTTGAGGCTCATCGTCGTTCGCTTTTGTTCATCACTCAATCAGCATTTCTCCGGGAAACCTTTTACCAGCTGATCATGTGTAAACGTACGATTCATTTACGTTACAGTGATCCCATGGTGAACGGTCATTGTTGTGACTCAGCCTTTTAGAGTTTTTATACTTTGGCGAAGCACTACTGTTGCTACACCGCCGACTCTAGGTAGAGGCCATCAACGTATCCTATCGCAAACCGGAAGCTTGCGCTTTAACTTTATCTCTGGCACAAGTGGAGGCATATGGGTACGGGTTTTTATGCTTGTTATGCTCCACTTTGTGTCCCCATTGAAGCACTCCGGTTCATAGTTTTTGCGAAATTCCACCGATAGTATGGAATTAGCATACGTCGACGACCCATAACTTGGGTACTAATTTTCAACGTGCAGCTCGTACTGACCCACTTGCACACTGCTCTGCGTGTGCGCTCTTCCCCACCTACTGTGATCGGCCTTTTTGACCCAAGAGCAACACGCTGTCAACAAATTCAGAAGACCTAATTGACCATCTCTGACTCACAACCTGTAAAATCAGTCACTTCTTTCATCCACTTAATATCACCCGAACCAAGTTCCCTTCCCCATCTTCGGCTTTGTGTTGTACGGTGATCTTTGAAGCTGCAATCGAAATTTACCTCGACCATGTCGTATTGAGCTCTCGAAGCGGTTATACAGAGTCAAGCGGCTCAATTGTTTGCGCTTCCATCGTACGGCTGCCGGGCTGTCGAAAGAGGAACTAAAAGTTGCAGCACGAGACTGTGGATTATGGCTTCGGGGTTATGTGCAAAGCAGCGTGAGGCATGTGGGCAATGATCTGAAACTGCTTGGTTGCATTACAAAACTGACTTGTTATATCTATAATTCAGTGTCGGCCGGTACCAAAATGCACGATGAAATGACGAAACAAGCTCTGTTGCTGCCTGTCGTGGCGATCCGATCGTTCTGTGCGCTCCGAGTCTCCTTTAATTGATGTTATCCGTACCAGATTCGACCTTGAGCAGAGGTGTCGAAAAGCTGGCACGACTGGATGAGGATTCCAAAAAGTCACGATGTTATCGGTAACTGGGTTGGGTGTGCGTAACGCCGTGTCAGTCTAAGGACGTCAATTCTTGTGGCTTCATGTTAATGGTTGGTTATCGGGATAATGGGCTATCGGGGAGATCACTTTTCATCCTATCCTTTTTTTACAAATTGACCGAATCGGGTTAACTGCCAATGAGGCACCCAGCGTTTGACGCATGCATGAGTTGAGACACCAGCTCGTGATTGTGGCAACTTTGTTTCTAGTCACTGCCTTCTCGGTCGGCGGCCTAGGTGTATCCCTGAGTTCTTTTACAAACCGACTTGTTGCCTACGGCAAGAAACTGGCAACTGACGCCAGTGCTAGTCAATATGTGAATGTCAGTGGTACGTTAAACATGCACACGTACTGCCTGCACCCATCAGAGGTTGGTTCAATTCCCAAACCTTCCGCCGTAAAAGGCGACGTAGGGTGTGAAAAATCATGTCAAAGCATCCTTTCATGGCAGTTGTCGTCTAATGTCTGATGCGTTGCTCTTCTGACACGCTCTGGTTGTTGTATGGCCTCAACCTTACTGATTATTCCATGTAGACCCTCGTGCTCCTGATGATTGATGTTCGAAATATTTTGAGAAATAGTGGCAGCTTTTGTCTACTACATTGACGTGCATATTATTGTTCGATACTTGAAAAATTCGGTCCCAGGTTTGTGGGTCAAATTCGCGTGACACTTCCCTTGGGTGAGGCATGCCGCTTTTTCCAAATGACTCACGACCGACTGATTTGCTGCCGCGTGGGAGCTCGAAGTGTGGATTCTTTACGGACAACGGGTGATTTGACTTTCTTGAACGGTGTCAACGTAGTTTTCCAACATGGAGTTCTAAACTTGAGTTTGTGGTGCACTAGCCCGGGGACCTTACTGAGCCAGAATCAATTTTCTATAATGTCAATGTACTTAATGATGACTGACGGCATATTGCATATTGGATTTTCGGTGTCACTAGGTAAATAAGCTACATTTGTTCCCTGCGTAGGCATTATTCAACGGGTGAACTAGCTCAACTTCGTTCCGTCAGTTCTGCAGTAGCGGTTGTTCGCTTATGAAAAACAAATAGACCTTGAGTCCGTGTTTTTGCAATGGAGTGTACTCATATTCCGTATGTACATCGGTTACAGACAATATGTTCAAAAAGCAGGCTTGCAGGGACCGAAACCCTTTGTCCTCTCAGCATAAGGTGTTGGTAACTTCTGACTGTTCCCAATGGCCTCTCCCGAGATAAATAGGAAAATCAGTGGAAATTTTTTTGATATTTGGTTCCCTCGTTATCCGCATTTTGGCGCATCACTGTAGCCGTCTTATCAGATATGATACGTGCGCTTTTGAAGTCCAGCCAGAAGGGTGCGATTGCAAGCCGTTGGTCAGTCAGCTCAGGAGGGAATGTCGTCTGGCAACCGCTTCCAGTGCTCTTTCAGGTGCTTTACTTCACCCTATGTCACCCTATGTCCAGACCATTTCCTCAAGGTGGTAAGTACAAAGGACCATCAAACCGAAATTTAGTAACGCGTCGCTGTAGGGCAAATTTGGATCGACGTGTGACTTCCTCTGTGGAGTTCACACCTAGAAGTCCTGTGTACAATATAGCCTCAGACCCACCGTAAATCCTCAGTCGGTCGGTCACCTCTCAGTGGGGTGTGCATCCCTTTTCTGTGGTGGGGGTCTAATGTCGGCACCTGGCGTGCGTTCATAATCATCGACAGCACCATATTTGTTTTGGACACTGATGCTTCGCTGCCGCACAACCATGATTTATTTGAAAGCCCTATTGTGAAGAAAAGAATAAGAGTGGACGGGGAGTTAGTGATAGCTTACAACAACCATTCTGAAGTACCTACAATCCCAGACACATCCAGTCAATCTGGATGAGAACTGACAACAAATGCGCCACTGACGTTAATTAGCAGTCGTATCCTACAGTCTCTATGACCACTCATACTGTTGCGTCGTATCGCCCAATTTAGGTAGCGATCTCAGTAGATAGCTTCGGTGAAATGCACCCCGTCGAGATTGGCCTTCCTGTTTTGTTGACTAGTTCAGGGATTCCTGACATTTTTTATCGTGACTTTCGCCGTACACTAAGTCATCTTAGCCGTTTGCGGGATAAGTTGTCACTGATTCGCCCAGCTGAGCATCCGGATCGCGACAGCTTGTCCACAGTGATTAACATTGTCCAGGGATTTACGGAACCCCTGAACGTTTTTCTATCGCGGTGTAAATGAATTCACACCTTATCTTCTGTAGGTCAAACATCTTTCAGTTCAAAGCCTCCCGGTCGTTTTGGAAGTTCTGTGGGCGCCGGTTATACCAGTGGTGCCTCAAAGTTTTCCGACCACAATTTGAGAGCCCCTAACTACGGCGGGGGTGGTTCTTTTCAAAATGGTGCCTCCATGCCTAAGTCGCATTCCTCATCGACCAGCCTCCATACTATGGGAGCCACTTACCCATCTGGAACTAGCACTGGAATGTCTAGTGGTAACGCTACAGGATCTACACTAAACGCCCCTGCAAATAATTTCGGGGGTTCCCAGCATCAAAGCGATACACGCGGTCCATTTAGCACCGCGCCCACCGACACCACCTCTCGGTGGGACAGGCGTGGACCGACCGACAAAGCGGTTAACCAAAGTCCGCAGGTACCACCTGGTCAACCTCAACAACCAAACAACCCTACGGCAAACCCTACATGGGGAAGTAACCAGTGGGGAGATAACCGGATTTCCAACGGAACTCCACAGTTTTGGAACGCCGCTGGACCTGCACCTGCACCTCCCTTCTCTGCCAGCAACCCCAGTTTTCCACAAGAGCGAAAACAGACACAAGCTCGAACTCCCGCGAGTGAGCCCGCTAATAAGAATTTCGCTCCGGACAATTCTGCTCTGCGTTCTCGGGGTTCATCTGGGAACTTGCAGGGTAACCCCACCCTTTCTAATGCATATCCTCAAGGTTGGCCCACGTTCCCTCAGTCATCTTTTCCACAAAAGAATGGAACAGCCGAGCGCTCCCAATTGGAATGCTAATTGGGGACAGCAGTACTACGGTTAAATTGAAGACTTCAACTTGTCATCCCATTGAAAGACCTTTTGCGGCGATGCCCTCTGTATACGTAAACAATCGCACAATCGTTTCACAGTTGACCTCTTCTCATTCACCGTTTTACCTCATTGTTGTTGTAATGCGAAGATCGACTGCTGTTTCACACCAAACGTTAGTACCGAGCGAACATTGGTTTTCGAAGTAACTTCCACTTGTTAACCTGCGTTTTTGGCCGGTGTCTCAACGTTTCGCTTTGGGCCTCAGCGGGGTCTTATCTTCCCTGATGACACTATTAATATAGCTACACAGCGTACGCCCCCCAAATCTTTCGGTAACGGATTTGTGGTAGCTAAGCTCGCGTGTTCCTGATGCTAATGGTAGCAATTTTTGCAGGTTACAGTTTGCAATCTACAAGTTTACCTTGGCGTTAGTTGTGGCATTCTAGTGCACAAAATAAGTGTGTTGAACGGATTAAAAGTTGGTGGGCATCGATGGCAGTTTGGAAGCACTGGCAAGTGTACATTCCCAATGCTATCGTAAGGGTGTCCGAGTGGTCTTCGTTGCTCCTGTTTTCGTCAGGATTTTCACTAGGATATTGACGATGGTTTACTGAGCGAATGCACTTGTTACCAGCCTGGTCGTTGTACAATAGGGACTACTATGTATGGTGAATGCAATATTATGGCTAATTTCGAGTTCTCGTTGCTGGTACCCTAACCAAGTTTCGACTGTCTTTGAAATAAGTAGGTATGCACTGAGTTTGAACGGAAAGTTGTCGAATGAAGCCTTCCATTCGATGACTTGGAAGTGACCATTAGACGTAAACATCCTTGACCGTCGTCAAGTCATTCATCATCATTGTCAGCTGCAGTAACCGCGTACTTGTACAGTGGTTTTAGCTGCCACAGTTTCGTTCACCGATGATTCGAGGAGCTAACGACGGTTTGAATGAGCCTTTTAATTTTCTCTCCGCGGTACGAGGTTAGCCGCTTTTCATCACGCGTTTCATGCTCCTGATGGCAAGAATGTGTGCTTTTTTCAAATTCCAATTTCTCATGATGTCAGTGATTCGAATTTGACTTGAAGTAAGCTGGTTACTAACGATGTTTGAGCTACTCCAAGTAGATTCCTCACTTCTCATACTCAGTAGTGCTGGTCAACTGCGGGATAATCTGTGCGTTTGTGTTTTTCAAACCTAACCGTTCCTAAAACTCAGCCTGATCTTTTTAATACGGGCTGCGGTTTTTGCATATCGCGTCGTTCGGCAATTTCGCCCATCTGTTCCTGTCTCGAAGATTACTTATTTTCAGTCCGGCTATATCGATCGTGCAACTTGTTTTTTTTTTTGAATTCTGTAATGGGCGTCTATCTGGCTTGAATGTACGTCCCATTCATTTGCGTAGCAATCCTCCATGTCGATACTAGTCGTTTATGTAATGTAATTCACACTGGGCGGCTTCGCCAAAAATGGAAGCAGCCGCTGCACGGTGGTGTTACTCTTTGCAACCCCAAGATAACTGAATACATCATGAACAACAACGCTGCTTCACTGTCGCACTCAGTCCTGTCTTTATGTTCCTGTAGATGAGTGGTGATTCACTCGGCGTGCTTCTACAGGCAAACTAGTGCAATAACAAATTAGTGGATTGTTCAATTTTTCTGTCCTCCAGAGCAGGCGTGTCGGTTGCTTATAGGGAGACAATGTGAGACCAGGGTGTCCTATTTGTGAGCAGTACAGGTTCGAAAAGGAGCTGAGACATCCAAAAAATTAGGACATTTGACATTTCCCCATACATGTTGGGCTGTTACGCTCATCCTGTGTCGATTCACTGTCTACGTGGGTGGTCCGGTTTGACTGACCAATCCATGAATGCCCAGTTCGGTTGGTTTACTGTCTTGCGATTTTGATTCCAACGTCACTTGAGCGCTCTCTCAGTAAGCTGAAGGTTCTGTATTTGTTGCATGTTCCCTATTGTGTGTGTATGCAACGTTTTCCTTAGGCGCTTTTACGAAGCACCTCACAAAAAGGCGGTTTTGTTTGATGTATTCGCGGATCGTTGACTGCTGTTGAGTTGGTACCGCGGATGACGATGGTCTGCGCCTCCTGGTCAGTACATTAATAATAACTTCAGTCGTCAGTCCACATCCGTACTAAACTGAGAGACTTTTCTCGACTCTAGTGCGAGGTCTGGAGGCCTATCGTGGCTCCTTGCGTGTTTGGTAGGGTCGAATTGTTTTGTTACCGTTAGACTTTAAGAACTGACCGGTACTAATGGACTTCGTTTCATGCAACGAGAGTCCATTTTATAAACGTGTCCTAATTTAGCTCAGGACAATGAGTGGCAAATTTTTTTTACCGCTCCTCAGCTGCTTACGTCGTTTGACAATCTAAATGTAGTATCTACTTATCGGAGACGAGACTCGGTTTTTCGGTCACTCAACTTCGCCAGGCATATTTGACAATTGGCGTCGTCATTTCCAGAAAAATGAAATGAACTCTGTTGAGATGATCATTTATACCCTTAAATAGTCACAATGGAAGGCTGAAACGCGCTTCTACGTTTCCTTCTACGCTTCTACGTAACCTAGTATTCTACCTTCGACAGAAGTGCGTTGGAAATGCTTGCCAAAAACTCAGCTAGTCATCAGAGTATGGTCCTGTGTAAATGATTTGGAAAGATGAACTTTGTCCATTATAGAGTAGTGAACCCGTGTATTGTGTGACTGTTCAGCCCGTTTATATGAACTGTGCCGAAATCATCTTAGGGCGTCTTTACACAGACCAGAAACCAATAGATGACACCACTTCATGGTTGGTGTCTGTTCCAGTTGGACTGCACTCAATCAGGTACAGGTTCAAAATAAAAAAGACTGCTTGCTTTGATGGAATCCGTCGTAGTCGTCATGTCAAAGTCTGAAAGTATCGTTATCGAATTGGTTTTACATGAGAAGATTTTGTGCACAGTGGGTTGCTCCTGAGTTAATCAAGTTATCTAATCATGGCGTTTTCTCACCAGTGGAAGATAGTAAAGGATTCCGTTTTTTTGGCCTCAGCGCGGAAGGGTTGGTTGTGCTACCGCTGTGATTAACGTATTTCACTGATCATCGTGTCTAGGCTGATGAGCCTAGGACAATTTGACGATGAGGGCTGTTTTTCGGTACTGCTTGAACTCTGTATTCAGCGGAGAGCAAATCTTCAGCGTGGTTGATTTTGGAACCTAACTCAAGAGGGCAGGGTCTCGATTACCATGTACATGATCTTTTTATGGGGGATGAAAACTCGAATGCTCAGGCCAGGCTCAAGAAGGATCTTTTAGGGTTGTTTTATCACAATCATTTCGGTAACCCGTTTCCTTCCCCATGGTATTCAGTGAATATATTGCGCATAGAGTTTTCGCGATCCACTTTCACGCTCGAGTGTTGATCACCACGATGGCTATCCTGACTCAAGAACTTGACAAGCTTCACTTATACATGTATGTACGCCGGCATTGTTCTTCGTCGAATGGCATAGGCCAACGCTTTCTTCCCTCAGTATGCCCAGTTACTGACATGGTCTACAAGAACAACCGGTGATTATATGTAGACAGCTTTTCTCATGGCATCTGCGATAGGCACGTGTACGTGTGGTTGGCGAGGCAGTTTTCTACCGAACGTCAATCATTATTTTGATGAACGAGTAGTCCACCTGGATTACTTACATGTCGTTAGTACATTTCACAAATCCGATTACTGAACGATGTTGCATCTATCCTCGGTATAATAACGACGTTGTTTCTAGTTGTGTTTATGTGATGTATCGTGGTTGGATCTACAAGCTGGCGAGTACATTGTGACGAGAAGCCTCCACTATAAGTTATTGGTGGTTATTTGGTCACAAACTCGAACACAGCCCCCAGCCTGGAAAAATAACTAAAGGAAGAACGTACTACAAGGTGGAATGAATGTGTCATTTCAGTTTGGTTCTCCTTTTAATAAAGACGTTGATCTGATTTGGGAAAGTGCGTGGTTGCGAACTCAGTGTATTTGGCAGTCTTGTGTGCGTTTATATCAGTTCTAACAATGCATCTTATCGCTGCCGCGCACAGTCGACAGTTCATACAAAATGCGTCTTTTGCAGACTGATTTCTGTTCCACTGACAGCCTACAGAGTCCTTTTCGTTCCGCACTTGACTTCTTGTGGGAACTTTTAAGGAGCTAAGGCTGAATTTCACCCAATTATCATAGTACATTTTTTCGCATAAGTCCGTTGCGACCTGTCTCCGAGCAGCGGCAACCGTGATAGAGTAGGCATTCATTGGGTGATGAAATATGTTAGGCTGTACATAAGTTTCTCGTTGATTCTGCCACAAAGTCCTCTGTTCCAATGCAATTTACGTTTGTAGAAGAGTGAATGACACTTCGGTTTTGTCGACTTCCAGGGACCACACATGTAGCACTGGTAAGTACGGTGTACGATCGACTTACGTCTACGTTAGTGGTGGGCCATACGTAGGTTCATTCCGGATCCATTGTGTGGTATCTCCAGTCGGTTTATTTAGTGTCCTGACCAAGGCATGAACGAACAAGGCGTCGTTTCTGGTGCCTCTGTATCAAACCTAGCATTTTCAGTGGCTGATTTTCCACATCTTGGTGCAGGTACCTAGTTTAGCTCCTGGAGAACTTTGAAGGGGATGCCATCCTGTATTCTTTTCCGATTTTAGTGTGCGAAGCCATAAGGTACAAGCAATATGTGGCTGCTGCGTTTTTTACGGGCGAAAACCGTTCGACCATAGTGCGCCATATACTAATTGTACAGCCACTCGGTGATGTCGAGTGCTTATTTTCATGGTCACGAGGCGACTGGACCTTACCATGGTGTGACGCTTTGTGCGACCCACAGCTGTTAGTTTAGCACTCTAATCGTCCTGTTTAGCTGTGGGCAACCTGGCAGTTTCTCAGCCCACATACAACCATAAATTGCGCACAAGTAATATCACGTACATGGGTTACAAAAATTCTTGGATTCCAGAGAAAAATACCTCACGTTAACTGTCGGGCAATCCCACTTAGTACTGGCGAAGTAGCATTTACGTGGTACGTAATAAAGTCACCCAGCTCCCAACAAGTTACACTCTTGAGTCGTAATTTTGAGCGACCGATCACAGGTCGCGTTCGTTAGTACCGGTGACTCATTCACTTGGTCATCCACTGTCCCAC